CCCAGGATGTCCACCATTTCTTCTGCCACGTTCCACCTCTTGTGAAGTTGGCCTGTGGGGGCAACGTGTCCACCGTGGCCCTGGGCGTGGGGCTGGTGTGCATCACGGCCCTGCTGGGCTGCTGCCTCCTCATCCTCCTCTCCTACGCCTCCATCATAGCCACCATCCTGAGGATCCCCTCGGCTGAGGGCCGGCAGAAGGCCTTCTCCACGTGCGCGTCCCACCTCACTGTGGTGGTCGTGCACTATGGCTTCGCCTCTGTGGTCTTCCTCAAGTCCAAGGGTCCCCAGTCTCTGGAAGGAGACACCCTGATGGCCGTCACCTACACAGTCTTCACGCCCTTCCTCAGCCCCATTATCTTCAGCCTCAGGAACAAGGAGCTGAAGAGCGCCATGAAGAAGACCTTCTTCCCTAAGCTCTAACCAGAAAAAAATACGACAACCTGGGAGGAATTCCTTGGACAGGTGAGTTGGGTCACCTATGCTCCCGTCGGAAATGGCACCCCGTATACATATAATAACCGATATTTGTCTCACGTTTTAAGCTTTGCAAAGACTCCTGCAGGCAACATTCAAATGGTTAAGTAGCATCAAGGATGTATTCAGGGTGGAAGTATGTATGAGATGAGAACAGAGAAAGTCAGATTCAAGGATTTCAATCTGTTGCAGGATGCTTTGTCAGGTAGCATTAAACCTGGAATCTGTTCTTTTTCTGCCAGAAGCCAGGGTGGTCTATTTACTCCCACTACCATCAACCTATATTGCAAAGAAAAATGGAGTCTGGCCTTAACCAGTTTGGCTCCGTGGCTAGAGCATTGGCCTGCGGACTGAAGGGTCCCAGGTTCGATTCCAGTCAAGGGCATGTACCTGGGTTGCGGGCACATCCCCAGTAGGGGGTGTGCAGGAGGCAGCTGACCGATGTTTCTCTCTCATCAATATTTCTAACTCTCTATCCCTCTCCCTTCCTCTCTGTAAAAAAATCAATAAAATATATGAAAAGAAAAGAAAAGAAAAATGGAGTCTGTCAGCCTCCACTAGGTAGCAGCAGGTGGCCACAACATTGGTATTGTGAGACTACAAAGGTCTAAGCCAGATTATAGCAGAGGAAACCAAAGCACCCTGAATTTCAGCATTGCACAGATCTGTGCAGTAGCCGTTAGAAACAGTAACAAGACAACAGAAAACCTCTGCATTGTAAGTGTGAAGCTTGAGCAGCTGCAGAGAGACAGAAACGTCTCTACAGTTAGTTCCAAGGGCCAAGTCCCACCATGAGAAATCGCCTTGCTGTGTTAGAGAGTGATGTGGTTCAGGGCCAGCG